GCTGTGGTCAGCAGGGACCTTCCACATGGCCCCCAGCCACCCTGCGCCTGTGTAGACACTCAGGGTCTAACTGACCAAAAGGAATGGAGGCAGGTAGGGCACCTGGGGGCACCTGTCTATGCCTTCCACACCAGGGGACAGCATGGCCTCTGAAATGCATGTCAAATGCTGAGGAGGACCACGGGCGGGGGCTGTCCTCCCCCTGCCCCTTCCGGCCCTGTAGCCATTAACATGCCCTACTGCGTTCAGCAGATTTGTCCCCTCACCCTCCCTGTTCTCTGCTGGCCTCCTCTCCCATCCGGGCTCCCCCTGAAGCACCCCCCGCCTTCTCCCCCTCAGAACTTTGCACCTGTAACCACCTTCCTATTTTTCTGTTTGACCTAGTGTTCCATCGATCTCCCCCCACTGGCGTGTAAGCTCTCGGGGGCTGGAGACCCAGTCTCACCGGCTGTGTCATCCCTGGGCCAGCACAGTGCCTGACCTGCAGGTGGTCATCCACCCACATTGACTGAGTGGCTGCTGTGAAGGCGGTGCAGTACTTTTGGGGGGGGGGGCGGATGCTCTAGAGGCAGACATTGCAGAAGCAAAGGCCCAGAGGAAGGAAAGTGGGGAGGGGGAAGGACTGGGGTTCTGCTTCCTCTATGCCTTTGGATTACCCTGATCCCAGCCCAGAGGTCGGGGGGCTGCCATGACCCCAGCCCCAGGGGCCCAGGTGGAGTTGGTAACTCATTGGAGGATGGCAGTGGACATGTCCACAAGGTCTGGTCTGGAAGGAGCTGGCCACTGTGCCCCACTCCATTTCCAGTGACTCTGGGTCTGGGGAACACATGTGGAAAAGACAAGGCAACCAGAGGCAGGAAGGGACCTGCTTCTGGGAAACCTCACTGGACTCCAGCCCGGATGGGGGCAGTCAGCTCATGTGGTTAGAGAGAGAACCACGGACAGACAGACAGACAGGTCACTCCTGGACTGGAGTTGCTGCAGATGAAATGAGACACCATGGGGACACACCAGTCTGTCCCCAGGTGCCTACAGCAGGACCTGGTCCGTGCTGCGAGCCCGAGTCCTCTGCGCTCAGGGCTGGACTCCACACCAGCACCTCCTGGGGATGGGCCTGCGGCCCCTTCTCCTGGTTCTCCATTTTCTCCTTAGATCACACCAGTTCTTCTCTTTGTGGTTTATTGGACTTCCTGAATGGATATATTCTCATCTTTCATCAAACCAGGGAAATTCTCTTCCAAAAATCTTCGACAATTTTCTCTGTGGTGTTGTCTCTTCTTCTTCTGGAAGTCCGA